GCTGATGATTCCTTTGCTGAGGATGTGTGTCTGTGCGCTGGGAGCGGGAGCTGTAAGAGTGCGGGAGCCTTTGCATCTCATCCCCGTGCTGCTTAACAGAGCAGTGCTGAGCCTGAGCACAGTGCAGGGAGTGTGTCTGTGTGGGACTTCCCAAGGGAGCATCCCCTGGTTTAGGTTTTTTTTTAATTAAAGCTCCAAAGCTGGAGGGAGAATGGCAGAGGGTGGTGCTGTGCCTCGCAGGGGGCAGCAGGGAGGGAAGGGGCCACACGCGGAGGTGGAGATGGAGGTGTACGGGGAGTCGTTAGGTGGGTCAAGTGGGTTTCGGGAGGGTGCTGCAGAGCAGGAGCTCGGCTGCTCTCAAGGACTGCAGCCCCTCACTGGGGAAGGCGGGCCAGCAGCCACGGTGGCCCCAGGGGACTGAGGAAGAGGAGGACAAGGATAAGGCAGTGGCACAAACAGGCAAGTGGAAGAGAGATGGGAACTGGGCTTAGGGAAAAGGAAAAGGAAAACCCACTGTCTTGAAGTCTACCAAGAAAGCAGGTGAAGAAGGAAGGGGAAGGGGACAAACAGGATCAGGGAACAAAGCAAAGATTAAGGTGACTACTGAGAGCTTGAGAAAGCTGTAGTAGCTCTGGGACACTGCAAACATTTTTAAAAAAATTACCATTTTATGCAGGTAATGATGAAAGATGAGCTGAGGATGAGAAGACAGGATTGAAGTGCTGGAAGCACTGAGGCTCTGAAGCAGGACCCCTGTTTTTACAGAGGCGTTTTACTTGCATGGGGAGAGGGACGAGGTGCTGCTGCCTTTGGGGGGTGTCTGGGTTTGAGGAAGACTGCTCCAAAGGGTGGTGGCAGCTCCTGGATGAGCTGTGCCACCCACTTCCCAGAGAGGGTGGCGATACCCTGGCAGTAGGGACCACCTGCGCTGCCCTCTCCATCTCTGACTGCAGTATCCTGAGCAAGGCACCCCGCTCAGAAACACCTGCAGCATATCTCTGATGGCTTTTCCTTCCAGATCACAAACATCCTTGAGGCCCCCATGCTGACAATGGCCTCCCACCATGTCATCACGGTCCAGCCCCAGTTTTCGGTTCCCATGCGGGTGAGCGAGTGGCAGTCAGGGCTGCTGGACTGCTGCTCCGACTGTGGCGTGTGTGAGTACATACGTACCCGTTGTTCCTAGTGTTAGCTCACGATGTGTTGCTGGTGTTTCCCCCCTCTCCCTCCTTCCTCACCCCTGCTGCAAACCCCACTTCTGTGGGTACCAGCAACAGAGCAGCTCTCATCTGAGGTGAAGAGCCATGGGTCCCATGGCCACATCCCCAGCTGCCCTTCCCCCTCTTTCCTCTGTCTTTGTACCCCTTGGCCAAGCCCGTGTCTTGCTGTCCCCCAGGTCTTTGCGGAGCCTTCTGCTTCAGCTGCCTGGGGTGCCAAGTGGCCAGGGACATGGATGAGTGCTGCCTGTGCGGCCACAGCGTGGCCATGAGGACCCTCTACCGCACCAGATATCACATCCCGGTCAGTGACCAACAGCAGGGCAGCGACAGTCGCCGGCTGGGTGCTGGGTGTGGGCTCAGGGAAGGAGAAAAGGGTGCCCAAGGGGAAGGGCAGAGGCGGAGAGTTGAATGGGCAGTGCTGCAGGGACACATCATCCCTGTGGTGAGCTGGGGGTAATCCTACGGCTGCCTCACCCCAGCCCTTGTTGGGCATGAGCAGTAGTGTGCTGCAGGGCCAGGGATGAGCTGCCCAGGAACACTGATGATGAAAACCCTGAAGACTTAAAAGGAGACGTGGGAAGGAGTCATCCATACGGTGTCCCTCACTCCGCAGGGCTCCATCCTGAGTGACTGTGCTGCCGCCATGTGCTGCCCCTTGTGCTCCGTCTGCCAGCTGAAGCG